TACACCATGTGTAATTGAATAGCAGCAATATTAAATTCACAAATGTCTACAACATTTGTGGCGTGAGACTAAAGACATCTCCCATTTTGGTAAAGTTTACATTAGAAAAGCTGTTACTGCATCATGAAATGATGCAAGAGTGTCCTAAATCAAACACAGGAGTATTTAAACTCTCTAGACTTTGTATAAATTACTAAATACTATAACATATGATATTATACTACTTTGTTTGTACTGGAGCCTACGTACGGTATAAGTGTCTGCAATATATTGTAAGCTAAAATTTGCGACATAAGGAAAAAACTCGATACTTATGCTTTAATCTGCAAGACTACTTCCTAGCCTTCAATAACTGGAATCTTTATGAAGTGCACACAAACACACATCACAGTATAACACGCAAAACGCTTTTGTTGATCATTATCCGGCTTATATACTTTATTAGCCGTTTTGATCATACTTACTACGTTATAAGGATATTTTTAATAAGAAAGGTGTTATTAAAAAGTTAAGCCATCACATATAGATATTTGAGGCAATAAACAATCTTATATATGAATTTATCTCGATTATAATTATTTACGAGCTCTATCGCTTCAAGTACTTATTTGAGATATATTACTATTCTGTCACGGTATCATAAGGATTTGCTCCTAAAGTAGCATTTCATACTTATAAGCAAGTTCAAAACAAAATGTTATCTTAAACTATAAATCCATAGCTAAGTTATTTTTATGACTGTGATAGAGAAATACCATGCCTCTGGCTGAATAGTACGCGTAGTTTGAATAATAAAATTATTGTTATATCCAAATTTCTGTCAGCTGGAAAAATATTGCAGATAAAAGAGGAAAGTATTATCAAGTAAATGCTGTTTCAGTTTGTCATCAAGATCAATAAATCAAAACGATTCTGTTATTTATTTCCATTTGCAGAAGAGATCGTTTCATAAAACCAGCTTCCTAGATTAGATTATTTGGCTAATGACTGATTTTAGTAAAGTTTTACCAAATTATTCAAACATTTCAGTCTATGTTGTTGTCAAGATTAAAAGACGAATTCCATTAATTTTGATAAAAATTACATTGCAGCTAGCCCTTTTTCTAACTTTATAAGAATATCATGAAGGGAGTTGATTGTGGCTTCTTTTAGTTTCTTTCCTGTATACCCACAGAATATTGTACTGAATAATATGCTACAAATCATTTTTACTGCGAGAAATAATGGAACATTCATTGTATTATTAACCCCACACATGCAGAGACTATTTACAGCAAACTAATTATACGGCCTAGAATTAGAGTACCAGGGTGTTTGTTATAGTGCTATCTCACCGTGGAGAAGTTAGCGATGTTTAGTGATTTAGCTTTATTTAGATTACAAGATAGTTTTACTTTACACGTCTTGTGGTGTATGTAGTTGTGACTAATTCACATTAGATTGTATATTATAACTTGATGATTCTGTGAATAGGTATATTGTAATCTAACAGTCTTGTGTTAGTTATCTGAGATCTATATTCTTAAATATTATCGTATTAATTAGGTATTTAGATATGCATCTATTGCTTGATTTTATAGGCGCTATTGATACTAATTGTAACTTCTAGCTAGTGGTAAAGGTATGCGTATATAAGGTGAGCATTTTATATAATGAAGCTAGTTTTAATTTTTAGTGCTTAACGTAATGTTAGAACGTACAAAACACTGAGAATCTGTAGAATTAGGAATTAGTGTCCCTAATTGGTTCTTAAACGGATTTTAGTAACCTAATACGTAATTCAGGGAGAAGATTTGTAGGATTAGCTTTATCTTTATCTCATTACAGAGCTGGTTTGTGATGGTGTTATACATGATATCCGATAGCTTATGCCAGGATAAAGTTAATACAAACTAAAAAGAATTATTCTACGGTCGAGAAGGACTGAATGAGTATTCAGTCCTAGTATGGACTTTCATACCTAGCGAGTTCATTTAGAAGAATGAATTTCAAAGTAGATTCGGATTATCAATTATTTCATATGGATATGCACATACTGCATAAAGAGCTACAATCAGCTCATCATAAGGTAGTTACTATAGATTAATTACTTCATGACTTTACTTAATATAAGCATTGCAGTAATAATAGTAAATCCGATGTTTTGCCCGGAAGATCCTTAACAATTGTAAAATGTTGAACCCCTGGCTCGAATTTTACTGATAAGGAAATAGAAATCGCTTTGACGTCTTACAAATCAATAAGAGGACTCATCGGCCAAGATCGTGTCCTGATAAAGCTAGGTTTTATTGAGGGTTCGGAAGGCATACAGATGTAAAAAGGACTAAAGGAGCATCAAATAGCTTAAAAGTACATAAAGACTAAAATATCGAAATTACCCAGTTTATTGGGCACTCATACAGCTGCTTACAAACAAAATAAAAGTACATTGGCAGATATATAAGCCGACCATTCCTGCCATAAAAATGGTTCTAGTTTAGACTGCACTACTGTACATAGAAGCGCAGTAGGTAGCAGTTCTTAGGTTACGTAAGTGGACGTAATTTAAACTGACTAAACTAATACTAAATTGAGAAGAATGAATACGTCCTAATATGTGACTATCGCCCTAAAGGAATGAATCAAAAATCGTACCTAAGGTAACTGTATATAAAAGCTCTTTGATAGCAAGTTATACATTACGTATTTCAGTAGGAAAAGAATAGGATAATGACTTTGACAACGCCCTGGGCCTTTGATTATATTACATTTAGAATATGGAGAGTAGACTCCCGCACAGATCCAAAATTTCAATGTCTTAATGCAAGAAGGCGATTGTCAGTTGTCCATCATGGCTCTGCACGATATCACATCTAAACACACCTGTAAAGTAATTAAGACTACAAGTCTAGACATAGAAGAAAAAAGTTATTAAACTAAACGAATATTAGAATGTCTTAATACAATAATGCTTCTTGGATAATTATACAGCTCTGTTTATAGCTAATAATATTTTTAGCGAAAGCAACAATCCAACGGTCGCTTCGATTCATCCCACGGCTGCTATTTATTGACTGCATAATTGCTGTATCTGAAGACTACTGGAAACGAGCTCGAAAAGCAAAGTAGTTTAATTACTGATTTAGATCTTTATCAAAGTATGATGTATTAATGAAGATGATAAAAGACCTAGTTAGTTTTGTTTTACTAATCTCTTAATTTTAGGAAAGCTCTGATCAAATTATGCTAATTGGAAATGGAGAAAAGTATTTCAACTAGAGTCTCATCGTCATTGCTTTGGCTACTGATTTACTCGCTCTTGATAACCTCATTTCAGTATAGTAAAACGCTAGGTAAGATCTAAAATTTTAAAATACTTATTAGAAATTATCAAAAACCTTAATCATGATATAATCAAGTAACTACACTGAAAAAGATTGTAAGTACAAATAAATAAATTTTAGTCATCATCTACGTTATATCTGCAGCTAAAGTTTGCAAAGCTAATCCCCATTAATCTTAGTCGTAAAAATTAATTTTTAAAGATTATTTTAATACCAAATTCTAAACATAAGCTATAATTAAATTAATGATTAGTCGTTTACTATGGTTAAGAGCGTACTTAGATGTAATCAATTTTAAATTGTTGCTTCTTTGACTACCTTATTTATGTTGGCTGTCATCAGGCGATATCTTAAATTCGAATGAAGTTCACAGTGAATTGGTTATTCAATCAAATGAAAACGCCGATGGTTAGTATGATAGTAAATCAAATATTCCTCTACCATTTATTTACGTTATATGTACATGTCAATGTACTATACGTACAGTCGATTTAATTTTTGAAAGGTTAGAAATACGAAAGATTTGATTCTCATTTGTAAGATTAAACTCGATTTGAAATATTGTGCTGTGTTACTGTAAGTTTCAATCAAGTCGAATGCGTCTTTCTAATTTTATTCCTGATCAATCACATAACCGCCTTTCATTTCAACCATTATGCAATTGATAGCTTTTATCTAGCAGCTTATGCTACTCTGAAGCATTAAATAGAAACTGTATGATTTTATTACTCAAATATCCTTCCTTATTAACTGCCGTTTGCTCAATTATAAATATTTTACTCGTAGTTAATAAAGCCTGAAGGGACCAAATATTTAGTGCTATTTGTATTACTTCTACTAGCGTTGATTTAAACATTTTCTTGTTTATTTAGATTTTCTAAACGATTTTAGAAGATCATACTGTATTGATCTGATGAAACTCGCTATTAATCTCTGTATCCTATAGACTAACTCCTTTATTACAATTGTTATACTTGTATAGTATCAGAATACCGATTAGTATCATCCTCATTAGCGGACGAAAAGCAGACAATTACGAATGTTATATCATTAACAGGTTAGATATTATGTTCATATATGAGATTATATCGAATATTGACTATATGCTGTTACGACTAAATGTGGTATACTGTATGCGCGTATACTCTAAGTATATTGAGAGTTTGACGTAGAAAGTACGATAAATTAAGCTACACGTGATCAATACACGCATATATCTTAATTAGTATACAGTATACTGTAGTGAATATGATAATATTAAACCGTTCAGTGACATCCTATGAAAGTTATCGACCATCTTATTTATTTTAAGATGCACTGGCATCGACAATAGTACCTGCAATTCATAGGGTTAATACTGTAATTACAGCCAGTCATCAAGTTAATATATCCGTATCGATTGAAGATAAACCAGCAATACTGTATAATCATTGAAGGAAAGACAATGAGCGCGAGCATAATATCATCAATAAGTTACTAGACATCGTGAAAAGTGATATATTTATTGTAGTACATAAGGGATTTTAAATATAAAATAACACAAATCAATTTCTTGCATAGTTAGTATTTTTAATTCATAAAACATATTTATAAATACGGATATTCCTTTATAGAACATGGCGATATCGAATTATCTACCCAAACTCTGTCAACATTATCATCGAACAATGATATTATTACAAGTGCCACTACCTATAGTAGCTTCCAACTGCAAATAGGCGATGTAAATACCCAATCATCCAATGATATACCATCTTTATTACAAGATGTAAAGGCATCGTCAGTAATATCGTTAGAGATAGATAGTCGAATTATAACAGAAATAATTACAGTAAATCAACAAGTTAGTACATTTGCAACGTCGAAAAATCACTTAAAATCATCATCATTGGAAAACACTCTAATAAGTACGACTGCAACGTTAACAGGTTAGAGGTTGTACTCATACATAATATTAATACATGGATATTAAATACGTACTGAAGTGAATAGAAATTAATAGTTGATACCTAAGCATATCGTAAATGTTTGTTAAAAAAGTGAGTTAGCATTTATAAATAATGCTGCGTAAAGATATAAAAAATATGAAAATATTTATACTTACGTATACTATTTAACTTTCAGACTATGATACTATTGAAAAATCTAGCGATATTCTGTCGACGCTATCGCCGAACATTATTACAAGCTCGCCTATCTACGATAGTCTCCAGTCGCAAACAAGCTATGTATCTGCTTACTCAGTCGATACTAGTGTTAGTCGTATAATATCTTTATTACAAGATATACTTACGTCGACAATAACGTTAACAGAGATAGAAAGTCAAAGTGCGACGTCGTTAGTTATATCAAGTCAACAAGTAAGTACTCTTATAACGTCGAAAGATCTCTTAGAGTCATCATTACTAGAGAATAGACAAGAAACTACATCTATGTTATCGTCGACAGGTTAGAGATTATACTACATGCATATCAGAATGTATAGACGCTGTAACGCGTGTATAAATAGTTATAGCTAACTTAAAATAGATATATACGATTAACGTAGTATTACAGAAATATAATAATAATACGCGTTTTCTACGTATATCGTAATATACTCTATAGCTTACGACGACGAAGAAGATAATACGGAAACGTCTAACGATATTCTATCGACGCTATCGTCGAACATTATTACAAGCTCGCCTATCTACGATAGTCTCCAGTCGCAAACAAGCTATGTATCTGCTTACTCAGTCGATACTAGTGTTAGTCGTATAATATCTTTATTACAAGATATACTTACGTCGACAATAACGTTAACAGAGATAGAAAGTCAAAGTGCGACGTCGTTAGTTATATCAAGTCAACAAGTAAGTACTCTTATAACGTCGAAAGATCTCTTAGAGTCATCATTACTAGAGAATAGACAAGAAACTACATCTATGTTATCGTCGACAGGTTAGAGATTATACTAAATACTATCAGAGTGTATAGACGCTGTAACGTGTGTATAAATAGCTATAGCTAACTTAAAATAGATATATACGATTAACGTAGTATTACAGAAATATAATAATAATACGCGTTTTCTACGTATATCGTAATATACTCTATAGCTTACGACGACGAAGAAGATAATACTGAAACATCTAACGATATTCTATCGACGCTATCGTCGAACATTATTACAAGCTCGCCTATCTACGATAGTCTCCAGTCGCAAACAAGCTATGTATCTGCTTACTCAGTCGATACTAGTGTTAGTCGTATAATATCTTTATTACAAGATATACTTACGTCGACAATAACGTTAACAGAGATAGAAAGTCAAAGTGCGACGTCGTTAGTTATATCAAGTCAACAAGTAAGTACTCTTATAACGTCGAAAGATCTCTTAGAGTCATCATTACTAGAGAATAGACAAGAAACTATATCTATGTTATCGTCGACAGGTTAGCGATTATACTAAATACATATTAGAATGTATAGACGCTGTAACGTGTGTATAAATAGCTATAGCTAACTTAAAATAGATATATACGATTAACGTAGTATTACAGAAATATAATAATAATACGCATTTTCTACGTATATCGTAATATACTCTATAGCTTACGACGACGAAGAAGATAATACTGAAACATTTAACGATATTCTATCGACGCTATCGCCGAACATTATTACAAGCTCACCTATCTACGATAGTCTCCAATCGCAAATAAGCTATGTATCTGCTTACTCAGTCGATACTAGTGTTAGTCGTATAATAACGTTAACAGAGATAGAAAGTCAAAGTGCGACGTCGTTAGCTATATCAAGTCAACAAGTAAGCACTCTTATAACGTCGAAAGATCTCTTGGAGTCATCATTACTAGAGAATAGACAAGAAACTACATCTATGTTATCGTCGACAGGTTAGAGATTATACTAAATACATATTAGAATGTATAGACGCTGTAACGTGTGTATAAATAGCTATATAGATATATACGATTAACGTAGTATTACAGAAATATAATAATAATACGCGTTTTCTACGTATATCGTAATATACTCTATAGCTTACGACGACGAAGAAGATAATACTGAAACATTTAACGATATTCTATCGACGCTATCGTCGAACATTATTACAAGCTCGCCTATCTACGATAGTCTCCAGTCGCAAACAAGCTATGTATCTGCTTACTCAGTCGATACTAGTGTTAGTCGTATAATATCTTTATTACAAGATATACTTACGTCGACAATAACGTTAACAGAGATAGAAAATCAAAGTGCGACGTCGTTAGTTATATCAAGTCAACAAGTAAGTACTCTTATAACGTCGAAAGATCTCTTAGAGTCATCATTACTAGAGAATAGACAAGAAACTACATCTATGTTATCGTCGACAGGTTAGAGATTATACTAAATACTTATCAGAATGTAAAGACGCTGTAACGTGTGTATAAATAGCTATAGCTAACTTAAAATAGATATATACGATTAACGTAGTATTACAGAAATATAATAATAATACGCGTTTTCTACGTATATCGTAATATACTCTATAGCTTACGACGACGAAGAAGATAATACTGAAACATCTAACGATATTCTATCGACGCTATCGCCGAACATTATTACAAGCTCGCCTATCTACGATAGTCTCCAGTCGCAAACAAGCTATGTATCTGCTTACTCAGTCGATACTAGTGTTAGTCGTATAATCTCTTTATTACAAGATATACTTACGTCGACAATAACGTTAACAGAGATAGAAAATCAAAGTGCGACGTCGTTAGTTATATCAAGTCAACAAGTAAGTACTCTTATAACGTCGAAAGATCTCTTAGAGTCATCATTACTAGAGAATAGACAAGAAACTACATCTATGTTATCGTCGACAGGTTAGAGATTATACTAAATACTTATCAGAATGTATAGACGCTGTAACGTGTGTATAAATAGCTATAGCTAACTTAAAATAGATATATACGATTAACGTAGTATTACAGAAATATAATAATAATACGCGTTTTCTACGTATATCGTAATATACTCTATAGCTTACGACGACGAAGAAGATAATACTGAAACATTTAACGATATTCTATCGACGCTATCGCCGAACATTATTACAAGCTCGCCTATCTACGATAGTCTCCAGTCGCAAACAAGCTATGTATCTGCTTACTCAGTCGATACTAGTGTTAGTCGTATAATCTCTTTATTACAAGATATACTTACGTCGACAATAACGTTAACAGAGATAGAAAATCAAAGTGCGACGTCGTTAGTTATATCAAGTCAACAACTTAGTACGCTTGTGACATCGGAAGATCAATCAGTATTATCATTTCAAGAAAGACCATACTCATCAGGTTTGAATTTACCGTAAGATGTTTATATTGCTATTAAACTAAGTTTTTACGCTTAATTGTTAGAAAATATATAAGAAATTTTTCTGCATGCATATTTTTGTTGCTCTTTAGGATATTATAAGATGTCAGTACTATAAAAGTAAATAAGTAGAAATTACCTTATAGCAATGCTCATTTCTAAGCGTTTTTCTAATAAAATTAATCACAAATAGCTTTTTAGGAAATATTTCTTAGTCAATAATAACACTATGGTTTAATACTATTGATTGTATATTTAATTTTAGAGATTACTGGATTTTCCGAAAAAACTCTACCTCCATCGTTATCAACGATCAATATTATTGAAAGCTCTATTGTTTTCAAAGATTTTCAAGTTAAAAGTGGTAACGTTAGCTTATTAACACCATCGACTAGCGTACTATCATCATTATTGCAAGATACGAAGACATTGGTATTTACTCCAACATCAGACATATTCCATTACTCAGACACTAGTAGCAGTTTCCTTGTTGCTGATTCTTCAATGACTTCGATACCAATTGCTACCTATTCTTTATATTCTAGTAGAAATAGTCCATCTAGCGAATTGCGGAGCTCGATTCAATCTTCTACAGATAGCATTTTGGCTACTTCAATTCAACAATCCATGCTTACCATGATTTCGTCATCGACTCGTATATCCTCATATTTATTTTCAGATGTTAGCAGTCTGATGAAATACCCGAATTCGGTAAAACTTGATCAAGTTATCACTTTTTCTACCCCGCAATCTGAATTTTCCACTGTATCGGAAATGTATACCACTTCGACAGGGCTCAGCCTTGATAGTAGTTTTGCTTTTTCCCTACTTCAATCTGAGTATTCGATTGTATCATCATCTTATTTATCAATATTTAGCAGTAAAACAGGATTACTAAGCTCCATCTATTCTTCTGCGCTAATAACTCCCGACATCTTTTCGACTACTCCAATCCAAAGATCAGAGCTGAAGCTTACCTCGACACTAACTTTAGATAGCTTGATCAAATCTTCGATTGAGCCACCCCATGATATTGTTTCTACCACTCCAGAATTTTCCATTTCGACTACTTCTATATATTATCCTACAAGATTTAATAAGAGTTCATCTTTCATCGATCTGCTAATCTCTGCAAAGCCTTCTTTATCATCAGATTTAGTTACGTCGATTTCATTGTCAGAGTATTCAATCATTTCTCTATCAATTAATCAAAGTTTATCACATTCATACGATTTTATTTCCAATACCTTTTTATCCAGTATGCCATTGGCAATTTCATCACCATCCTTTTCTAAATATTCGATGACACTCTCAAGTTTAGGTATTGTATCAGTAGTTTGACTGTAGAGTCTACAGTAGATGTAAAATACAACTCTTTAAATCGTGTGAAATCATTGAATGCACTCATGTATTATACTCAAATTTGACTGATTCTCTCATATATGACGTAGCTACAGACTTGGTATCCTTTCATTCAAATATCATCTCTTCTGAAGGATCCATTACCGTTATTTCCACAAGTATTGAGACAAGTTATCCTTCTACTACCTATGTGGTACATCCAATACTATTGGAATCAACAACTATTGCACCGTCGACTACTTCAGAAGGTAAACAATAGTGATTCTAACTCTATACGACAATATTCGCTTATATTGTATCTCTTTCATGAGAAAATGAGCTGTGCATTGACCTCATACTAATCCTACCTCTATAACTTCAGTAACCTCCTCAAGGCTACCTGATATCTACGATTGTTCGATAAATACCAATTTATGCCATTCTAAAGCAGACTGTATTAATACTTCTGGATTATACAATTGCTTATGCCGTTCGGGATTTACAGGAAATGGAACTTATTGCGCAGGTGATTTAGCTATTATATCTACAACGTTGCAGATTTTAGTTCTACGTATTTGTTACACTGCTCTATTCTTACAGAATGATTCTCATATTACAAATCGCTACGGCATCATTTTACATTAGATATAGACGAATGTGCAAAAAACCAACATGAATGTCCTAATAGATCTGTATGCATTAATAACATTGGATCTTACCAATGCCAATGCATGAGCGGATTTTCGGGTAACGGCACGCTTTGCGAAGGTAAAAATATTGCATATTGTCTCCTATTTCTTGCTACTCAAACGATTGATTATTAGTATGACTCTCAGATAAACTAACATCACTACTCTACATTAGATATAGATGAATGCACAATGAACCAATATCGATGTCATAATAAATCTATGTGTATTAATATCATTGGATCTTATCAATGCCAATGCATAAAGGGATTTTCGGGCAACGGCACATTTTGTGAAGGTAAAAACATATTATCTTATATTATTAATTTGCTTACTATGCTAATAATTGATTGTTAATATGATTTTTGGACGAAAAATTTACATTATTCAATATTAGATATAAATGAATGCGTGATAAATGAAGATAGATGTCATAATAGATCTATATGTATAAATAACATTGGATCTTATCAGTGTCAATGCATAAACGGATTTTCGGGTAACGGCACATTTTGTGACGGTAAGGTTTTATCATACTCCATTAATTTACTTATTTATATGATCGAAAATAAACTTAATTCTTATACGATCGATACTATTCTATATCAGATAAAGATGAATGTGCATTAAACCAACATGGGTGTCATAATAGATCTATATGTATTAATACCATTGGATCTTACCAATGCCAATGTATGAATGGATTTTCGGGTAACGGCACGCTTTGTGAAGGTAAAGATATAGTATCTTTTGTTAATTTGTCCTCTACTCAGATAATCGACTTTTAATGTGAATTACAGGTAAACTAACATTACTCTTTTACATCAGATATAGATGAATGCGCAATAAACCAACATGAATGCCATAATAGATCTATATGTATAAATAACATTGGATCTTATCAATGCCAATGCATAAACGGATTTTCGGATAACGGCACGTTTTGTGAAGGTAAAAATATATTGTTTTTTATTAATTTGCCCGTTATTCGAATAATTAATTTTTAATATGATTCTCAGATAGTCTAACATTACTAATCTACATTAGACATAGACGAATGTGCATTAAACCAACATGGATGTCATAATAAATCTATATGTATAAATAACATTGGATCTTATCAATGTCAATGCATAAACGGATTTTCGGGTAATGGCACATTTTGTGAAGGTAAGGTTTTGTTATACTCTACTGATTTACTCATTTATTCAAATGATCGGAAGTAAACTTGGTTCTAAGATGAATTACCGATACTATTCTACATTAGATATAGACGAATGTCTGGCTAATGAACATAGATGTCATAATAGATCTATATGTATTAATAACATTGGATCCTATCAATGCCAGTGCATAAACGGATTTTCGGGTAACGGCACGCTTTGTGAAGGTAAAATGTGTTTATCTTTTATTAATTTGCTTATTATTCTAATAAGCGATTATTTAAGTTGTTAATATGATTCTTAGACGAATTATCAATATTTTTCTACATTAGATATAGACGAATGTGTAACAAATGCACATGGATGTCATAATAGATCTATATGTATAAATAACATTGGATCTTATCAATGCCAATGCATAAGAGGATTTTCGGGTAACGGCACGCTTTGTAAAGGTAAGATTTTAATGTAATTTATTAACTTCCTTGTTACTCTATTACCTCGATTATATATATACAGTATATATATAGATATATATGTTTCTAATATGATTCTCAAATGAAATATCGATATTTTTCTGCATCAGATATAGATGAATGTGTGGCAATTGAACATGGATGTCATAATAAATCTGTATGTATAAATAACGTTGGATCTTACCAATGCCGATGCATAAATGGATTTTTGGGTAACGGTACGCTTTGTGAAGGTAAGATATTTACAGTAATCTATTAATTTAATTATTATTCTAATGATCGATCATTAATATGATTCTTAAATGAAACATCGATATCTTTCTGCATTAGATATAGACGAATGTGTGACAAATCAGCATAAATGTCATAATAGATCTATATGTATAAATAACATTGGATCTTACCAGTGCCAATGCATAAATGGATTTTCGGGTAGCGGCACCCTTTGCGAAGGTAAGATTTTATTGTACTCTATTAATTAGTTACTCATGTAGGCGAGTATCAATTATAATTCTAAAGAAAATCATAATTTTAACAGTATCTAATTTTCGAAAGGTTCTAGTAACTGTTTTATTTGCTAACCAAGTAAAACAAATAAAAGTGACAGTTCACGGGCACATTAAAATCTTCTCAGCAATAAAACTTAAATTTCTCTAAAGTATTTGATGATGGCTTTCTTTTAGATATTGATGAATGTTTAGCAAACCAACATAATTGTCATAGCCAGGCGAACTGTATCAATGGAATTGGCTCTTATGAGTGTTTTTGTAGGGTCGGATATACAGGAAATGGTACAATTTGTGAAGGTAATTTTAACTTAGTACCGTTATAGCTGAAACTTGAATTTATATAGATTTGATTAGCTCTGATATGATAATTTGCCTTTTTAGACGTCAATGAATGCAAAAATGGCAATCGTTGCCACCCCAATAGTACCTGTCATAATAATATTGGCTCATTTAATTGTTTATGTCTAACCGGTTTTAGTGGCAATGGCACACATTGTACAGGTATATTCAGCAAAAATACAATTGTAATTTAGCAATAAATATAATATTGAACTTCATCTGCCTGCTAGATGTTGATGAATGTGCAACAAATCAGCACCAATGTCATCAACAAGCTATTTGTAGCAATATTCTTGGTTCATATGAATGTAATTGTCGCTCTGGTTATATCGGTAGTGGCACAAGCTGTTCAGGTTATTTAAATTCTTAGAAAGTATCAACATGTATATTTCCTCAGTTTAATAAGATATTTAAAAGTTTTAATAAGAATTATAATTTTATTGTATAAAACAAAACTCAGATATCAATGAATGCAATGGCTTACATAATTGCAGCAGTTTGGCAACCTGTTACAATACCGCTGGCTCTTATTATTGTACCTGTAATTATGGCTTGCAAGGTAACGGAATCTATTGTTTTCGGGAAGGTAAGCATCTTATCAATTTTATCGTGATTTAACTGAATAAAAATTTTCGGCGAACGACTCGACGTATAACCTAATGTTCTATGGTGACTCTATTATCTCAGGAACTAGACTATATCCATACGGGTTGCAATTTGGTGATCGCTCATTCGGTCGCACTGATCAGGGATCGCTTTATTTATACTTATCAGAACCAATTTATTTTGTCCAGACATCGTATCGAGGAATTTATGTATGTGCTACATGATATTAATGTATAAGCTAGCATAAAATACTAATTTTAGGCAGATAAGGGTAGTCTATATTAAGCAACGTCAGCATGAGATCATTCTGTATTAGTTTGAGTGCCCCTAGAATTACCTACATATACTGCAATAGCTGGAAAAATGAAATATTAGTCATTAAACAGATTTATACTAACCGTCAATGACTAAAGTTGTGGCTACGCTACAAGATTGTTTTCTTTACTATCTAAAACTAATCAGTCAATGGTGCCGTAAGTTTTCATTTAGATCCTTTTTCAGTGAGGTACAACATTAATTAAACTCGTCTAAGAGAGCTCTGCATGACATAGTTAACTTTTATGGTAATGCCGTTGCATTACGTGGTCCATTTTTCGAGCTCTTATCATGATTGAAAAAATTATAATTTATTTTCATTCACAAGATATCTGCCGATGGTCTCGTTTCGTTGGGATTTCCGTATCTTGGTTTTAGACCTAGAAGATTTCCAAGACCATTTAACCGAGCTATAATTGCGCCTTATTTTGCTGATTGTGATCTTCGAAGTCAAAGTTTATCTAGTGTTTATTATCAGCAGTATTTTAGCTATCAAAATACTCCAATAGCTAAAGAAATTATTAAAAATGCCACGAATGATGTCCAACAATTTCAACAGATTGCAGCACAGAATCCCAATAATGCTATTTATGGTGTATTTCGTGAGGTAGTAAGTAACTTTTCAGCAACTCATGTAATTGTTATCACTTGGTATAAAGTAGTTCCTTACCCTTTCTGGTATTATTGGCGTTATCCTCCTCGTAAGGTAGGTTAAATAGTCTTTGGCAGCTATCAGTACGCATTTATAGCATTTTTGGATTATTAACACATCATTATTTAGAGCTAAAGGCTAATAATTATAATTAACCTTTGGTTTATAGCAATTCTTGTAGTACAAATGTTAATGAACGTATGATATGATAATGGTAAAACAGAATTAAACTAAATTCTAACCTAGACTTATTCTCTAATATCTCGAAAGCATTAACACACCAATACAGTATACACGTCTTTGCGAGAGGGAGTTTTATACTTGCTAATACCCTATGCATAGCGATTATGCTATTATATATTCTTAATTTCGATACTTAAAGTAATACTACGATAGTATTAGACTGGTGATTGACCTTGGATTTGAAGCTATTTTCATTGCACACTAAAAATTATGTAATGTACCTATAATTAATGAAATACTAAATAATCTTGAACTAATATTACAACTAATATTTTTTCTCATCAAAAACATCAAATAGTATAATACATTCCAATTAGTATTGATATCAAACGGAGAAAATCTTTTCGGCTTGTTTAACTATGAAGTCAATGGTTTTAACTGGTGGAAAAGAACCCCATGGATAAGAGCACGTGTCGGCTATTCTTATGGTGTAGCACCTTTTTATTACGAAATACCTTGGTCGCAAAGAAGAGATCAAAACCTTCTCAGAATTGATCAATATCGAGGCAATACTGGAGAAATTGGTAAATGGGCATTCCGATTAGATGATCCCGATATTAAACATGTTAATTACGCTAGACGCTGTACTCGCTGGTATTATGCTCAAGCCTATTCTGTTTATTATCGACGAACATTGCCAGCCTGTCCATGTCGAGCAGCACAAGCAATTCTAGATCCTAGATTTATTTATAACCGAAGAACCGGTTGTGCTATATCTCGATTTTCCTTTCCAGGTTGGGGATGGTGGTGGTTTTGGCCAAGGACATACTTCTACTTATGGTCGAGACCGCCAAGGGTGTGTGGCTATTTTATAGTTGAATACAAATTAGAAAATAGTAGTCCCTATATTTTCTTCAAACTTGGTTGTTTATTATTTTATAGGTCCAACAACGTTGCTGTTATTCTACTAATAGAAATACGGCAGGAGCATTAATACGTTCTTATCCAGGCGGTAGCTCGTTCACTTATGTAACTCGTTCACTTCGGCAAAACGATGAAGAAGCTTATAGTGCGTGTTGTAAATTGTCGCGATTATGTTATTTATATCGAATTAGAAGGCCAATCGACACATGCCGATTTTACAGGCCACCTCGTTGGTGTAAGTACATTTCGTTCTATTCATTTTTCCTTTCCTTGTTATGAGTTAGAAAAAATAGTAAGCTCTCATTAATATTGTATATCGGATAGATTTAAATGCTGGTATTTTGCTAATGTATTTCATATTATAGCATGGATGTGGGGTGATCCACACGTTGAAACATTAGATGGGAAAAAATACAGTTTCAATGGAGTTGGAGAATACACCCTAATACGGTCGGAAAATAATTATTTTACTTTTCAAGGACGTACAAAAAGACCTTTCATTGCTAATACTACCAAATTAGCTAAAGCAACTATTTACACATCTTTTGCAATGTCGAAAAATGATTCAGATACTGTTGAAGTCAAACTTAATGAAAACAGCAATACGATCGCGATCATTATTAATAAAAATTCTACCTACAATGATAGTCATTTAATGAATGGAACAGTGCTATCATTTAACAATATAGAGATATCGAAATCAAGCACAACTTACATTATTTCGTTTACATCGGGCATATCTGCAGAAATTCAGGCAGTAACAGAAACCTTGGTTGCATCGATCGTAACATCATCATCATTATTAGGTATTACTAAAGGTCTACTAGGTACCTATAATGGCAATGTAACGGACGATTTCTTGCGCCCCGATGGAACTTATCTGAGTATCAACGCAACAGATGAAGAAATTTATCATCAGTTTGGTCAATTGTGTAAGCAATATCTGTGATGAGCGTCCTATTTCTCATAATGCCGTAGTTGTTTATCTTTTTATACTAGATGTATCTAAAGATGCTCTACGTAAATATGCTTTACATTTATAATCATTTTGTGATGTTTAATATGATAATCTATGAGAAAAATTTTCATTATAAGCCTTCAGTAAAATAATTAAATACCAGAAATGTTTCCTATAGCAATGCTACACCTTATGCATTTTATGAGCGTTACATGCTAGTATTTATTTATATACGAGTGCAGTAGAACAGTTGTTTTGTTCCACTCTAAGTCTATCAGTTATTTACTTTTATAGGGCAAATCGACGGAAACGCGTCGTTATTTACTTATCCTCCTGGTAGGGGACCCGGTTACTACAGTGATCCGTCTTTTGTACCAAATTTCTCCAAGGATATCAATTCCTTATTTGAAAATAATACTCAACTCAGAGATGAAGCTGTCAAATCTTGTAACGGAGATGCTGCTTGTCTATTTGATGCGGCAGAAACTTTAAGTTTAGCTGTCGCTGTTGGGAGTAAGAACGTTTCAGAAAGTATCGCGACTGCACAGAAAGATATAAGTAAGTAAACCAACTACAGCAATACCTTTCAATTCTGCTATTATTAGCAGAAATTAAACAATTTTGCATATTAAATCGTGCATTTGAGGTCATTCATTTACTTGATCGGTAGATATATTTCCGCCAACAATAACTGGTGAAAGCATCTTTAATGTAACTTTTGGCCAAGTTTTTACTACAGTATTAAATATTTCTGATGGAAATAGCAATAAGATGTTGGAATTAAATGCTGCAAATTTACCTCCTGGTGCATCAATTGATAATGAAACTTTTGTATTTACCTGGAATGTTACCACTTACAAGAATATTTCCTTTGAATTTACCGTCATTAACTCGCACAATTTATCTGCTATATTCAAACCAGCTATCTTCATGTGTTATTGTGCTAATAATGGAACCTGCCAATACGAGTAAGCTCTCTTTACCAATGTTGAATTTGATAAAATTGATTTTAGAATTGATACAACATATTGACCTCAGAAAATATCATATTAGTACAGTGTGATGGTTTGGGTGTATAGTAATCTGTATAGTTTCTCCTAGATTTGATTTTAAATTCTTCAGTCAATTCCTTCTATAATTTGTTATTTTAGTTCCGAATCAATAACTATAAATGATACTGGATATGCTGTCTGCCAATGTGCTTCAGGATGGGTCGGTTCGTTTTGTACTCAAGATTTAGATGAGTGTGCTGGCAATCCTTGTTATGAGAATGTTACTTGTACGCCAATGCAAGCACCAGCTACTGGTTATACATGTGGACTATGTCCCGGTGGGCTGCAAGGCGACGGAGTTAAGTGTTATGGTAAGAGAAAATTTTAACACGCTACCTTGATATTTTTATATCAGTATCTGATTCATTTTTATAACCCTAATTTATAATTTATTGCTCAACTTATAAACAAATTAATGCGCAGAGCCATTTATTTTTACGCTTATATATGCCTAATTGTACGCTATAGCGGTCAATAACATTGTCTTTTGCTATGTCATGATTTTCGTATTCTCCTAGATGTTAACGAATGTGAAACAGGTGCAAGTTTATGTAACCAAACCTGCGTTAATACCGTTGGATGCTATTCATGTCTTTGCAATGCAGGATTTGAACTTGATGCAAACAAATTTGATTGCAAAGGTATCCCTAACTCAGTTTATTCTTAAATTCGATCTTACATTACAGCTAGTATTTAAGAGAAAATTTAACTATTCTTGTCTTATGAATGTGAGAAATTGTCCACGATTATTTTTATAATATAGAATACCGTCAGAGATGTTTTTAATAGGTTTAAAATATTTCAGATCTTTCACTATTTGATAAAGGATGCATACCGTACCTTATAGACTTGTTTTTAAGGGTCATTAAAGAATTTACTTAACATATACTGAAAAACATGCTCGGATTCGTTTTAGACATTGATGAATGTAGCATCATTCAGCCTTGCCATCAAATCTGTGTTAACAGTTTTGGGAGTTATAGTTGCGCTTGCAACCATGGATACAGCTTAAATAGCGATAACAGAACTTGTTCGCGTAAGTCACACTGTCGGCTAATAAAAGAATACAACATTTAGATGTTGCATGTAACATGATAATCCGCTCAATACTGTTATATTGACAATGATTTGCCCTTAATTATTTTAATAGCTATTATATCATGTAGCTCCATTTCAAATAACTGTTCACAAACATGTGCAGTGATTAACAATAAAATAGCTTGCAGCTGCAACGAAGGATTTAATTTAGCTACTGATCAAGCTACCTGTCAAGGTATCAAATGACTAAATTATCATTTTAAATATGCATAGCTTACGCCCATTCCTAAGAATGATTTTGTTAATAATATTACTCACCCACAATTCTTAGGAATGAGCGTAACATATATATATATATATATAAATAATATACAATATGTATGTCTATAATTGGCTTATTTGTAATACAGATCAAGATGAATGCACTAGCAATCCTACTATCTGTGCTCATAATTGCACAAATACGGTAGGAAGTTATAAATGTAGCTGTAGAAATGGATATCAACTTCGTGCTGATGGAAGGACTTGCCAAGGTTATTATAAATTACAAATTATATACACCGTATATGAGTATATATATATCGGCTAAATTCTAAAACTGAGGATATTTCTTTCTTCTTATATCGGGTGACGATATTCAATCGTAGACATTGATGAATGTACTAATATAACGACTTGTCCCCTCAACACCATTTGCACTAATACTCCTGGTTCATATGAGTGCCAGTGCGTTGATGGCTTTCAGTTTATTGGAACAGAATGCGAAGGTAATGAACAGCATGTGATTAACATTTAATTCATTCCCATTATTTTATCAGTCAATTGGTCAGACGAAATTCTGCTTCTGGTTACGTCATATAAATATACAGTCTAGTGATTTCTTAATTGAATTTAGACATAGATGAATGTAGCCGTCCGGAGCTTAATGCATGCAACCGCTATGCATCTTGTGTAAACTTTGCTGGTAGTTACAACTGTCTATGTAAAAGCGGTTTTGATGGAAATGGAATTGTTTGTACTGGTAAGCTTATGGGAAAGAATAGTATTACAGCATTATTGACTTAAATGCTAGGTAGATCTACAGCAATATTAGTTTGCTAAGTAACAGCACCTGTATAATATTATTGCTTAGACATCAATGAATGCAATAACATTAACAACTGCTCAAGCAATGCTCAGTGCCAGAACGATATTGGTAGCTATCGCTGTATTTGCAGAAATGGATTTACTGGCAATGGATTTACTTGCACAGGTGATACTAATTCCGTTTAGATGATGGACTAAGGACTACATTCTAAGCTTTTTTGCTTGGCATTGCTATACTAATGCTAATGGCTGTATTTTGTTTAGATATCAACGAATGCGACAACTTATCAAGCTGTAGGAGAGAGGAGATCTGCTATAATACTCTTAGTAGTTATTATTGTGCATGCAAGAAAGGATTTTATTTGGATTCCAATACGAATAGTACAACGCATTGTAAAGGTAGGAAAATTCACCGAAAAATTAATATTAGTACTTTACTAGCTGCAGTAGCATGGTATGTTAATAGTTAAAACAATATTACAGATACAAATATCGCAACTATTGCATGATGTTATTGATTTTTTCTTCGCTGGAAGCGCTTAATTATGTTTTGTAAAGATATTACCATATACAAAAAGCTATAAATTAGCGTAACTATACACCCAATTAGATTTTATATCAACAGCTGCTTCATTGTAATCGTTAAGTAAAGATTTTAATAGATAAATATTACTATTTACATCTGTTATAAAATCTATAAGGTATGTACGTAGCTGGGCTTCTGTGGATATAAACCATAAACTAAAAACTAATTTTACGTTATCTTATGATTAGCTGGCCTATACTATGTTGGAGAAATTAAACTTAATGGTAGATTTACCTCTGATTTAAGCAATAAGGGTAGTCAGGCTTATTTATTATTAACCACTGAAACCGTTAATAAGGTAGAGCTGAGAATGAAAATTTATATCCGATGCTCTAATATTCTTTTAGCTTTAATGGTATTCTATATTTCTTAAAGCTAAATGCAGCATTATTAGCGGATATTAGAACTCAATATACAGTTCGGCAATTGATCATTACCAACGTGAGGTTAGTTCCCTATGGTCATAATTTTGCAAAGAGAGCGCTTTTGTTGATAGTACAATTGCATTAAACATCGTATTATCACCTGTATTTCTTATACTTAAAAAGGCCTGGAAGTATAGTTATCGATTTTTCTATAACGCTGCTACCAAATGCTACATCAGTAACGGCTCAATTTCTGGATAGTGTTACCAATCGAAGTATCAAACAAATCGGCAACTATCCGGTTGCGCTAATTACTTTTCAAGGTATTTCGTTCAATGATTAAAATTATAACATGATATTACCAATATCATAAGATTTCTATTTATTTAAAATTTTAAGTGCTTTATGTATTTAGATACAGTATTTTACTTGCATATTCGTATACACTTGTATTTGAAATATCATGGGTGAATACGATATTTGTAAACTTTTCTTGCCCTTTTAAACAAGAATAATTACATTGTTCTAAGATTACGACATGTACCTTAAAAATTTTTTAATAAGTATTGTCAAGATGATAGCAATCAACTTAGATAATGAAGTTTAATAAATAATAGTTTAATATTCCTATCGATTTTAATTTTATTTGTTTTATATAGCTTATTTGCATATAAAATATTATATATATTATACGCATATATAGTTCTGGCTATGTTGTCTATAAATTCAAATAAGAATAATTAATCACATTTTGGCTACAGTGTGCATCTAAAAATCCTTATACTCTTATGGGTACGATAGATGATAATAAATAACTTAACCGGGAGATAACACTTTTAGAAAAAAAAAAATACCGTTGCTATACAGTATAATAAATGATTAACATACTATAAATTTCATTGTTACGCAGAATACTGGTAAGATCTAAGATAGTTCAAATGAAAAACAGTTATATGATTCTGCTTTTCCCCATAGATTATGACCAATGCGCCGATCCTCAAGCCAATTCTTGTTCCAAATTGCAAAATTGTACGAAAAAACCAGGGACATATGGGTGCACTTGTATTAATGGCTATCAACTAGACTTACAAAGCAACAATTGCCAAGGTAAGTTTAAAGGAGATCATATTGTGTATGCCTATTAGATCATTCCTGTAACACTATTGAATGAAAACGCTATTATTTATTCTATGCTTACTGTTATACACTATTTAGATATCGATGAATGCTTGGTTCCATCTAGATGTGCAAACAATAGTATTTGCATAAATGAACCAGGAGGATTTCAGTGCCAGTGCTTAGACGGATATAGTGGTAATGGCCTAACTGAATGTAGATGTAAGTCTTGCTCCAAATACATAGTTTAGTCAATACAAGATGATTCTAATGTGTAATTCAATTAATGGTAGCAAATAAAGTAGCTTATTTCCACTACACTTCATATTTGATTTCAATTCCTTGATACTTGAATATAAATTTTACTAACGTAGAGGTGACATCATTAATTCTAAATTATAGCATTATGTTCAAGTAATCTATGTAAAAACGGTGGAACATGTTTTTACTCTAATGGCACCTCTCTTTGCAAGTTAGTTAATTATTTTAAGTTTGTTATCATCTCTACATTATTGCACTTTCTCCTCGCCATCATAACCTGAGATCGACTAATTATAGTAATCATGATGTGATCTATTGACAGTTGTTCAGCCGGATTTGATGGCCAATATTGCGAAAGCACAAGTGTACTCAGTGAGTATTAATAAATCTTGCAATAATAAGCAAGATTTGTCCTTGTCTCCTAATATCAATTAAGAATATGAAGGAAATATTTTAAAATGGATGATCTAAAATGTGCTTTTACATTTTATTATGCATATGACTCTTCTATCAATTGAACAGCTATACCAACACTTGGAATTGCTTTCGGTATAGCTGGGGGAGTTTTGATATTGATTTTAACTCTAATCGGCGTATTTGTCTTTTATCATCGCAATAAAAAGTATGTAGCCTATGTCTGATCAATAATAAGACTTATATTTTAGGTCGTATTGTATTTCTATTTTTTGATTAAATCACCTGTTGACATCCGGGTTTAGTTATAAGGTGATAAATGATAGAAGTACGGTAGTCTTTCTCGCTTTTGTAAATTTTAAATGTTAATTGCTTAGCAAGGGTAAGTAATATCATATGCGTAGAAACGTAGGAAAGAGATATATAGTTTAATTATTTGAACTTTTAACTAGTTTATTCGACAATAACGCATATTATGATCACACTAAATGTTACTACTGCCTATAAGTTTTAAGCGTCAAGGCGAGTTATCTTAACTGTGTTCCCTTTGTGAAATGCAGTATATTTTAAGGCTCGTATATCTGATAATTTATAAAAAGAATTTACGAATTTTTGACAAAAATTTTTCAATAGGGCAAGAAGTAAAGCAGAATGTGGAAAAAATAGTGGCAATGCCTCAATTGCTTCCAGTGCTTCGAGTAATAGTGATGTAGATGATCCAACCCAACATCATGGACAACACCAATCACAAAGAATTGAGAGTGTTATATCTTTATTTTCTGAGAAGCGCTATCGAAGTAGCTATTATCAAGGAATTAGATCAGACGAACAAAGTAGTACTGATAGGACAAAAAGAAAAGTTCCCAAAGCAGAGAATATAGATTTAGTAAAAAATTCAAAGAAAAAAGGTGTAAAGGAGAAGCTACAACGAGTGAACAGAAACTAAGCGATACTAATAATAACATAAAAAAGGAATAACCCGTAAAAAACAGGATATCGCAGCAGAAGATACAAAATTTGGCAAAGAATCGATACCAACAGGTGTAGAGAAATAAAATTACAAAATATAAAGTGAAGCGGGAAGATAGCGCTGTAAATAAGGATATATGAAGCGAGAAACAGCTTAAATTAACACTAGGTACTATAAAGTTAATTAGAAAAGAACTTGAGTAAAAATTAAGCTTAATTGGAAAGCAATATTGCGCCCTATAATAGTAAGATAATTTTGAATATTCAATGCTTTATTACATTATTTATTAATAAAATATGGTAGTGCGAGTAGGATACTTGATATTATAATAACTAGAAATAAGACTGCACAGTGTTACGATAAAAATCAAGTTTAGTATACAGTAATATTCTATAAAGATAATATAGATAATTCAGAAAATCTCAATATAATACTATATTATTTGGTGGTATACTACAGCAATGCGAGTATTGTATTTGATATTCTTCGCTAATCATGGCTTAAAAGTTAAACAATATTATTAAAATAAAGTTTAGGTGACAATGTATTGTAATCGAATTGGTTTTGCAAGCTAATAAAATTAAAAAAATTAAAGTTACAATATTAACATTTTACCGCCTATTTTCTTAACTAATTGCAAATGAAAAATATATAAATCTCCATTTTATGCTGATTCGCTACTTCAAGCTTTGCATAAAGAATCTAATTACGCATGGCTTAAACATCAATATGTTGGCACTTCTAGATCACTAAGATAAACTGTAAGCATAAATAGAACACAAATTCAACTACGGTACAGTACACCCAGGTTACAAAAATGTTACTTATCACACAGTTGTCGGACATTTATCTGTTTTTGTTATACGTCATGTGTACGTTGTATTTTGTTATCCTATATTAATTTCTAGAAGGAATGCTTTCAGTAAGCTTGATGTACATCTTAAACTTTGTAAGCTATTAGCACTAGTCTAGGTGAAATTCTAATGAAAGACTTTATTATAATTATTATAATTTTATGTTTCTACATTAAATGATTTGAGATGTGTCATAAAGGTTGACATAATCTCAACTTTTACGAATATTTATTGGATTTATTTATCCTCACTTATGAATTTGGAGTTTATAAGTATTTTTGGGGGCTAGATTCGGTTAATTTTATCATAAAACGTGAACATGACCGTACTACTATTCACTACATTTTCCTGCTTTTTGTATTAGTTACAATTTTGGAACTATGATCTTACTATTACACAAATTTTTTTTAATATTATAATATATAAAATGATAAAGCTTTAAAGCGTACTGCAGCTAGTCATTATGATTTAATATGATTATCAAAGCTAACTAGTTGTGTTAAGTTAGAAGTTATAGGAGGATATGCAGAAGATTTCAATTATTTCATTGATTAATTAATTATTAAACCTAACCACTCGGTGATAAATTTAAATTTGAATTACTGATAATATGGAAGTGTTCATAAGCCTTGGCCCACTATACAAATTTGCTAAGAGAATACTGTCCTATAAAATTTGCTACTTATTTTTATAGTTTGAACTGAAATATTTTAACCATTAAAAATAGTCAACAAATTTGAAGTAGGGCGTAGTTCATCGCCCGAAGTCACAATTGCGCATTTTTCACATCGGTATGCTGGGGCTAATGGTAACCTCTACTATAGTATCGAATGCAGTATGCGTTAGTACAGCATAATTACCTGAATGCGAGCGCCGCGGGATTCAAATCAAAACGTATTCCGCTTTCCGTTGATTCAAATATGGGTAATTATCGTCTTGATGACTAATAGGATAAAGATCGCATTCCATTGTAGCAGTCGCGCCAGCAATTATTTTATTATTTTCCGAAAACTTTGGTGTAATATTTTTACTATTGTTATAGTAATGTACTTAAAGTACTGTACATGATAGCATTTTATGTGAGTATATCCATCTATGTAGCAGAAATCATTATACTTCAGTTCAAAAATACAATAGCTGAAAGTTTCAGTTCCGCTAAATGTTCACCTGTGGGACATTAATGGATCTTATTAGTTGTATCAATTGTAGTATGCAAAGATGGGGAATATAAGTACAACTTAGTAGATATTAGTAAAGTATCATAATAATTCTCTGGCATTTTATGTGCTGAATTTATCATATGCAGCTTTTAAAAATGTAATTAAAAAGCTTAATGAATTGTATAATTTATTCTAAGAAAATTATCAGCCTGACGGTTATGAATAGAATTTTGCTCCTTTTCATCATGGTATAAATCCATATAGTAATTGGATAAAATCAGAACTTCTATGTTACTGTCCATATCAACATTTGACTTTACTAAAGTAGACGTACTTATTTGAATCATGTCATCATTAAAATATGTCAAGTATTTAATATCATCTAACATAGTTCAAAACTAAGGATATGATAAAATTTGAAATACATTTACAACTTTTCAGTCAACTTTTATATATACAGTATAGTATAGTACTGTAACTATACCGGTTTAAATATACTGATCAACGACAATTAATGTATTTCGCGTACTGTGCGTTGTGTACACCTCATAGAATATTACTTAAGTGTAAGCAGAGCTGCATCATAACTGCAGAATTAATACTAGGTACATCAACTTACAGCTAAAAATTGATAGTAGTATTTGTTCGAATCTTCTCGTTAATTAAACTGTTTCGCAGATTTCCATACTTAGAAGGATACTACTGAGAAACTACTAAAACAAAATTCACAAATTGATGATGCGAGTTAACCGATAAAAGCTCATACAGAAACAGTAGTTTTGACTTTTGAGCTGTAGTTTCAGCATATTGTATACTTGTATCTTACTCTTCTTAGTCTACTTATTTTATAAGTTAATCATAATCAGTTGAATGATCGCATAGGGAAAAGCACAGAACGGTTACCCATGAAGGAGGGAGGAGTCAGTATTGGAATTGATTGACTATTTTATTATTCCTCTCTCTCATAGCTTTAATCGTCTTTTATGTGAGCATATTTTAGTCAGCATTTTGTGGATAATACAGATGCTTTGAATTATTAAGACAATAGAAAGCGTTGCTTCGATAATAAATATTATTGATCTCATCTATTTGTTGACTCTTATGAGTTTATTTAAAATTGCTTCTTGATTCATCAAAGTGTAGGTAAGATAATAGGATTTCAAAATGAAGGATGAAAGGCTCATTCTATAGTTTTATTTATTCATAAGATCAGACACAGAAAGCATCATCTTACGGTTCTTCTTTAAAGTAACTATAGCAACATCATGACGTTAAAGAAAGGAATATAAGTCTGTTAATTTAATTAACTTAATTTACAGCAAATAATGGCTAATTTTTCGTCTTTTGACCATATATTGAACATCTTGATACCGCAATTACTAAGCAAATTTGCCTATATAATTTCTTATATGGAAACTATTTCATGTCTTGCTATTTGATACTGTTGAAAAGCTTTCGATATGGAAATTAGATACGAATACAATCACGTGCTATCATGAGGCTTATTGTTAAGACAATATATGTCTTTTCCCTTCGTTTCCATAATGTGATTGATTGATTGATATAACTAGAAAAAGACCGACTACCAATGTGATACTATTGTTTATGGCAGACTAATAGTTTAAATACACTTACTAAGTGCGGTCAGTGCAGTACTGCCGCTTATCCTTATACCTACTTCTGCAGCAGATTAATCATATATATGAACTTGGTTAGAACTATTTTGTGGTATAAATGTAATTAAAATTTAAATCGAGTTAAGACTATTATCGTTGGAATCTCCGTAAGCTAGAATCAAATTTGAAAGGTACCATGACTCTTCATGTTACTTTGAATTATTTATCCTCTATTTTCACATTTCTCTTATTAAAATGTGATATAAAGCCTGGATCTATTTTGCTATACTGTATGGATTGAATGAATTAATGGAGCATTAGCTGATTTTTAATTTAGAATTAATAGCTGATTTTTAATTTAGAGTTAATAGCTGATTTAATTTGAAGTACCGGTACTTGGACAGCTACTACTTGATGCTAGTACTGAATAGACCGCACTTAAGTTTCAATATGGATCATGATACGATCAGTGCTATATTTGGCGGGATAGCTAACCCTTGCTTAAAATAATTATCACTATTTTATAGCTTCTCTTTAATTCATCAAATCATCTACTTTTCAATCCTGATTTGCTATATTCAAAGCCGAATACTAATTAGATGCATACGATCGAAACATTGACTTGTTAGCTGATATTTAAATGTTTCATCTTGCTTATATTTGACATATTCACTTGAAGACCCCTACAATTTAATACACTACTTAAATCTAAATTTAGGGCTTATAATAAAGTACCCCTCAGCCGGATAGTAACATACTGTGAATATCATCCTTTAGAATAGGTGCTAGACAACTGCTGCGCAATAATAGTCTAGTTCCAATTTTTTGAATTCAAGTAACATTACTAAGCTTGAAATTCTCCTTTGTTTCATCGTGTGTAGATTATTTCTAACTTAATCAATACTTGGCTGTCATTCCCTATTCTTCATTTGCAATCAAAATTATTATTTCGCCGGGCACGTCAAGGTACTGATATAAAAGTTGATAAATCAATAGTTAAAATCTACATTCAGTACTGTTTACTATTTCACCTGATGTCTACTTTTTTACCGATGATCTCGCCATCAAATATGATACTAGGGAAAAATAGGTTGCCAAATGAAGAAAAGAAAAATTGGCAATTTGACCTACAACCTATCAAGGCTGCTTCTTTCCTATCTATTAATTCTAAATTGGAAGTATGCCCATACTCTAGGTAAGTGGAATAAGTACTGTAATAGTACAATGTAATAATATTATTAGATTCTAACCTCAGACTTCTCATTCCGTTCATGAATATTTTATTAATGAAAGTCAATAATGTGCTATAAAAGCAGTTCTCATTCATACGTAGCCTTTTATTTCTCTAAATATACCCTGATACTTATTTTACCGAAATTAATTTTTCAACACTAATGACACCTAACGTTAGCGAAATTGATCACCAACGGTATTTGACCCTTTATTAGCCTTTGAATAAAAATATAAAACAACACAATAAAATCAGAAATTTGATATCTACGCTCTTTTTCTTTCTCTAATATACGGGCGATTGATGTTGATTAATTTAGTAAATAATTACTTTACTTTTACACATAGACACGCGTACTCTATATAATGTAATGGATATTTGTGTAGTATTTAGGCCATCATCAACTTTAGATAATTATAATCTAAACTCGGTTGAATTTTTATATCTAATTGTTTCTGACTATAATAACTAATGCCCTAGTTCCAGCGTCATGATGTTAGCTTTATCTGTAATAGTCCAAGGCTAAATTTAGCATTAATGGATTTTTCAAATCATTCTAGTCGATTTAATGCCTCAATACCTAGAAAGTATTAGAGTTATATATACAATTATACCGTATGTGAATAATGTTACCTGTCCATTCTAACGAACAGTTAGTAGTGTGAAACTGTGAAAATTCTATCATTCATTTTTTAAATAAATGACATTGTTAATATTCAGTTAGTGTTTGCGATTTTGAGAGACGTTGCTTAATTACTCTTACTTAATGAAGCTATAAGTATTGAAGAATTGAATGAACTATAATCGTTTACTGATAGGATAGAATTGCTAATTATATGAGTATTTATTCTGTCAAAGGCGATGATGGCGGACAAAACGGGTATTCGATGTCGGAAGCTGGTAAATTTAACTCGGAATGGATTGGAGTTGCGGAGAGTAAGTCAAAGATTGTTTTTAAATGTTTCTGTGAATTTATTTTAAATTATATTTACCTTGCTAAATTGTTAACGTTAGAAATGCCATAATTGAATTACTTCCATAGAAATCTTTAGTGTTCCATTTTTATTACATGGCTAAGAATGCTAATTGTATTAACAACTAATGTTATTCATTAATTCTAATTCTAATTTTATGATTGATAAGGTCTATTTAGCCAAAATGAACAAACAGGAGTAGAGGTTATCTCGACAACAGTGGTATCTGAAAAACAAAATGGTAATTCATAACTTAGAATGATTATCCTCTGTAAGATGTTAACTCCCAGATACGCAGCTCTGCCTCTTCATAGTCACTCACAGTTAAATGAATGACAGAAAAAGGGAGCAAGTAGACTCTGCTTATTGAAAGATGGAATATTTTTGGGGGACTTGGAGTTACAAATTTCTTCCTATAAATGAGTTATGAACGATACAAATACACTGAACGCGGGTTTGTTGCATACCGCTATGTCGTATGTACTAGAAATCAACAGTCTAACGCTATCTACGCACACTATAATAATTCGTACTGAATAATTATTGAGAAAATTTTTTCTCTGCTACCTTCTATGCAAATATATCTATAAATTACTGAATACTGCTTCTTTAGTAACTCATGATTAATCTCAACTTTACCAAATATCCATAGAGACTAGAGTCTCTTGCCTCTGAGAAGATATTCTACTACCTTCCGTGTTCAACGTACGCATGAGGACGGAGATAGTGATGCATATAGAACGGTTTTCTAATTTCTTCTATCACAATTATTAATTAGTTGTACTTTAATCCACGTAATAATAAATGGAATAATTACTTGAAAAGAAATTAAATACTGTCCTTAGTAATTGCCCTCATCCTACCTCGTAATACCCTGTTATAAAATCATAATATTGGCTTCCTATGCATTTTACGAAACTTTCTATCTCTATTGAACATAAAAAATCTTCGACTGACTGACGTACATCCCTCGCAGACATTAGATGTCTTTATTAATAGAATAAAAATATAAGCAATGTATTGTAAATCAAGTAGTGATACTCAATATGCTGATCAACCTTAAATGTATCCTAGATTAGGCCACACTTAGTATTTAATTATTATCCTTAGTAATCACCTTCATCCTGCCTCGAAATACCCTGTTATAAAATTACAATATTGGCTTCCAATGCGTTTTACGAAACTTTCTATTTACTAAATAGGAAAAATCTTCGACTGACTAGCGTACATCACTTGCAGACATTAGGTGTGTAAGCAGTCAGTTGTAAATCAGGTAGTGATATTCAATATATTGATCAACGTTAAATATATCCTAGATTAGGCCGCACTTATTTGCGGCTTATTTTATTTGTAAAGGCCATTTGCCTAGCCAAATTCTGATCAAAGGCAGAATACTGCGCTCGCGGTTTTTCTCCTACTTTTTACTATACTTCGTACGGTACATTAGTGCCAGCTGTAGACTGTCCGCTCACTGTACTGTACACTCAGTGTCAATCTACCGCAGTACCAACAGGTATTGGGTACAACTGCACGAGCTTCTTCCCTCCGATTCATACTCCTCTTTCCTAGACGAACCGTCTAAATTTGAAAATGGTGTCCGCCAAAAAGTTTAATCCTCTTTTTTATTTATTGAAATTATAAGTTTTCACTTTACTTTACCTATAGTAAAATTCTACTTTATCATTATTATGCAAGAGTAAATATGATCGAGGGATATCATACTTCAAGTCTCCAATTTATTGATGAAACTGCCATGTTGCAGAAATTTCACTGGCTATACTAGAATGTAATATTTTACTTTTTAGAAGGATACTTTTTGCTGTTGGAATCATTGAAGGCTAAAATTTTAGCTTTACCGCAATTAAAGTAGAAATATCAGGATATAATTGTATTTTACAACAGCAAATACTGCCAAAGGTCTAAAATTCTAGAATTACTTCAGCAGTATATGATGATCATATTTGAATGAAAATCATAGAAGGATATATATAGCCATCATCGCTGGGTTCTTAGTACAAGTGCTGTCAACACTTTTTTTTGTAAAAACGAACGGGTATTGAGTGCAACTTCACCGGCTTCAGACCTCAAATTCTATCTCTCTGCAGGACGAACCTTACAGTTTTAAATTGGTACCTGCAAAAATGTTTAATGCTCTTTTTCATTTATTGAAAGCTGTAAGTTGTCGCTTTACCTACGGTAAAAATTCTATGCAAGACTAAATACGTAGATTAATTAGAATTATCGAAGGATGTCATGCATACAGTCTTAAATTTAATAAGGGAATTGAAATATTACAGAAATTTCACTGGCAGTATTTAAAAAATTATTTTAGAATTACTGAAGGCTAAAATTTTGATTTTACCGTAACTAACTCTTGTAGAAATAGGAGGATATAATTCTATCATGTAAGATGAAAATACTATCTCTTGCGCACGCATATATCCAACAACTCACAAGAAGTGACACTATTACCATATCATAGCGTAACATACAACACTATCAAAGATAAAATTCTAGAATTACCTTAGCAGTATATGTATGAAGATCATTTTTAATGTAGAATCATGGAAGACTGTCCATCCATCATCGCTTTGGGTGGGTCCGTAGAGCACATGCTGTAACAATTGTTTTAGTAATTATGTGAAAGTAAAATTTTTTGTAAGTCTTCCTTGATAAAACTAAAATTTTATAAAATTACAGTGACAGGATTTCAATGTCATTTTACATGATTAAAGGCTATGAGTTTTTGCGGATCAATTCGATTAGATGGACTAACCTTGTTTTACCAGGCTTCAACCTGACATAGCTCGGGAACGGTATCGCGGTCGTGCCGAGACTTAATCGGGGATCAATTTGATATCACGTTTTGCTTCGCTGTCTGTTCGAAAGCATTTTATAATACAGTACTCTAAAATGGTCGCTATTGTCTAGCCTAGAGAGTTTAGGGTCTCTAGACTAACCGATACTCGTTTTTCATAAAATTAACCCAGAATTAAAGTAAATAGTTTGCAAATTTTAATTCATTTTATACTAATTTGCAATATTATACTATTGAAATACGTACACTTATGTATTCTATTCACTGCACTTGAAAGGAAATTAGGGATTATTTTTCCGTTAAAGGATGCATATCTTGAAAGTTGAAACTAAATATTCTAAGAAATAAATTTAAAGTTTATGAAGGAGCAGACCTTGTCTGTCCTTGCTCAGTTTGTACAGCTTTTATTCTAATTATCGAATAGGCATCACTACGTCATAAATTCGGCCGTGTGCACTGCGTAGTACTTGTCCTACAGAGCAAACGGTAGTTAAATGTTGAGCGTTCGTACCCGTATAGCAGAACGTTGAAAGTTTTGCCGTTTATAATTGCAGTATAAGCGCTTACGTATCCCAAGTTTTGTTATATTAAATTGATAGTTAAACTATTCAAAGCATAATATGTTTTGCATGGCTTTCCTGTCCTAGAAGACGTTAATGAATCATTATTAACAGAACACATAGTGCCAGCATCGCTCAACAATACCCAGGATCACATTACTACTGATGGGGTAACAGCTTCATCATCGGTGCAAGTGTTAAATTTAGAACATACGCAGGTATCAGTATCTGTAGGAAGTGAAGACCAATTTGGTACAGATAGCATATTGAATTCGAAATCACAATTACAGCCCATCTCAAGTGAGACTATATTGGCCTTCGAAGATGACACCATCGGAATTAACCATTTATCTTCACAGTACTGGAAATACACAATCTGTGCAACCGACAGCCTCATCATTGCATTTATCTAACGAACTGGAAAGTAGTCACCAAATAGCAGCAACTGATGAACAGTCTAACATCGATTATACGACTTCGCTTCTAGCTGATCAATTACATTCAAATGCTCCTACGTATGGTAACATAGATAATCCGATCACTGCTGGTATTTTATCATCCGGAGATGAAACTAGGCTTACAGGTAGCCATTATAAGCAATTAACAAAATCTCAATTTTTGTCATCAGTACATTATGTTAAAATTTCTACATTTTCTGATCATATCGATTCTAATTTCATCTGCATGTCTTCAGATAAAGTTTTAATCTCTATGAAAGAGTCACCACAATGGACTACGCAAAATATCCTGTACACACCGAAAGCATCGATAATTCCTGAGAGTGATATCACAGTAGATAAAACAAGCCAAGACGATAATTTGCAAGAATTAAGAAGTACGACTACGAAAGTAATATCTAACGTTAACATAGATTTAAGTAGCATGCTTCAAAACGAAGAACAGGAAGAATCTGCGAGTACACTACAATCAGCAATAGATAATTTCGTAGTTTCATCGCCTGTTAATAATATCGAATCAAATTCTATCGATATTATATCAGATAAAATTTCAATTTATTCTGATGGATTATCACAAACGAATACACATAACATCATGTATACACCGGAAGCATCGATACAAACAGAGAGCAACATAATAGCAGATATAACAAGTCAAGACGAAAACTTACAAGAAACACGAAGTACAACACTAATATCTGACGTCAATATAGAACTAAGTAGTACAATTGGAAAAGAAGAAGAAAAAGAATCGACTAATATCGACAACATTATATCTGCAACAGGTAATAAAGTATCGACTATAATAATAAGTACACATAATTAAGTTATACTACTGCATATAAAGTACTTGTAATCATACAACTATTATGCTTATAGTTACTGTAATAGACATATAATAAAATTTATGTATATAGTGTATATAGTATTAAAGACACTATTCAATATTGCAATAACTAATTAAACTCAGAATAGATTACATACTTAAGATATACGTGCTATAAATATATTACATACTATAGACATACAAGAACCAAGTAAAGATCAATCGATATTACATACGCTACAATCAACAATAGATAATTTCGAAGTTTCATCGCCTGTTAATAATATCGAATCTAGTTCTATCGATATCATATCAGATAAAGTTTCAATTTATTCTGACGGATTATCACAAACGAATACACAAAACATCATGTATACACCGGAAGCATCGATACAAACAGAGAGCAATATAATAGCAGACATAACAAGTCAAGACGAGAACATACAAGAAACACAAAGTGCAGTACTAATATCTGACGTCGATATAGAACTAAGTAGTACAATTGGAAACGAAGAAGAAGATAAACAATCGACTAATATCGACAACATTATATCTGCAACAGGTAATAAAGTATCGACTATAATAATAAGTACACACAATTAAGTTATACTACTATATATATATGCTAACATGCACTATACAGTACTCGTAATTACACAATTATTTATTGTATTTATAGTTACTGTAGTAGTAGACATATAGTAAAATTTATACATAGTGTATATAGTATTAAAGACACTATTCAATATTGCAATAACTAATTAAACTCAGAATAGATTGCATACTTAAGATATACGTTCTATATTACATACTATAGACATACAAGAACCAAGTAAAGATCAATCGATATTACATACACTACAATCAACAACAGATAATTTCGAAGTTTCATCGCCTGTTAATAATATCGGATCTAATTCTGTCGATGTTATATCAGATAAGATTTCAATTTATTCTGACGGATTATCACAAACGACTACACAAAACATCATGTATACACCGGAAGCATCGATACAAACAGAGAGCGACATAATAGCAGATATAACAAGTCAAGACGAAAACTTACAAGAAACACGAAGTACAACACTAATATCTGACGTCGATATAGAACTAAGTAGTACAATTGGAAACGAAGAAGAAGATAAAGAATCGACTAATATCGACAACATTATATCTGCAACAGGTAATAAAGTATCGACTATAATATTAAGTACATGCAGTTAAATCATACTACTGTATATACAGTACTCGTAATTACACAATTATTTATTACATTTATAGCTACTGTAGTAGACATATAATACAATTCATGTATACTGTATATATTATTAAAGACACTATTCAATATTGCAATAACTAATTAAACTCAGAATAGATTACATACTTAAGATATACGTTCTATATTACATACTATAGGCATACAAGAATCAAGTAAAGATCAATCGATATTACATACACTACAATCAACAATAGATAATTTCGAAGTTTCATCGCCTGTTAATAATATCGAATCTAATTCTATCGATATTATATCAGATAAAATTTCAATTTATTCTGATGGATTATCACAAACGAATACACATAACATCATGTATACACCGGAAGCATCGATACAAACAGAGAGCGACATAATAGCAGATATAACAAGTCAAGACGAAAACTTACAAGAAACACGAAGTACAACACTAATATCTGACGTCGATATAGAACTAAGTAGTACAATTGGAAAAGAAGAAGAAAAAGAATCGACTAATATCAACAACATTATATCTGCAACAGGTAATAAAGTATCGACTATAATAATAAGTAGTACACACAATTAAGTTATACTACTGTATATACAGTACTCGTAATTACACAATTATCCATTATATTTATAGTTAGAACTTAGAAGACATAAAAGTAAAATATATACATAGTATATATATAGTATTAAGGGCAGTATTCAATATTGCAATAACTAATTAAACTCAGAATAGATTACATACTTAAGATATACGTACTATATTACTTACTGTATACAAGAACCAAGTAAAGATCAATCGATATTACATACACTACAATCAACAATAGATAATTTCGAAGTTTCATCGCCTGTTAATAATATCGAATCTAATTCTATCGATATCATATCAGATAAAGTTTCAATTTATTCTGACGGATTATCACAAACGAATACACAAAACATCATGTATACACCGGAAGCATCGATACAAACAGAAAGCGACATAATAGCAGATATAACAAGTCAAGACGAGAACTTACAAGAAACACGAAGTGTAGTACTAATATCTGACGTCGATATAAAACTAAGTAGTACAATTGGAAACGAAGAAGAAGATAAAGAATCGACTAATATCGACAACATTATATCTGCAACAGGTAATAAAGTATCGACTATAATAATAAGTACACACAATTAAGTTATACTACTATATATATATGCTAACATACAATATACAGTACTCGTAATTACACAATTATTTATTATATTTATAGCTACTGTAGTAGACATATAGTAAAATTTTTACATAGTGTATATAGTATTAAAGACAGTATCAATATGC